CCGTGTCCTATATTTTTAAAAAATGTTTGTGTTCGTGTCGTATCGTGTTCGTGTAGCCATGTCCATGTCGGTGCATCATAGGTCTAGCAACATTCCATATATCCTTTTCAATAAAAAGAAATATAAATGTATTACTAATTTCTGGAGTCATGGAATTCAACAACCATGACATAATCATGGAGTCTGCTTTATCTCATGCCCCAAAATTAAGATCTCCTCCTTTTGGTCCTCTGATAAAGTGATGCATTTTTTCTTTCCCCTTTAAGTGGGTCTTTAAAAAATTAAGACCACTTTAGGTAGTTCTTCCTATTTAGGAGATATGAAGGTTGCATGCTTTAGAGATCACCTCGTTTTTGGCATATCATAGTGTCTTCTATTTGATCAAATCTCTGTGATGAATTTTCTTCATACATTATGATGTTATAATAGCAATAAAAACTGATTTGATTATATCAGCAATAAAGGTTGATTCAGCAATAAAGGTTAATTTCGGGTCCTAATCAGGTTCCCAATTTGATTTAAGATTTATTGTTGTTGTCGGACCATCCCAGCTACCTAAGAGAAGGGCCCCGTCCGTCTCTGTGTATCCGAGCAAACCAGGGAAATCGAAAGGAGCTTCCGATCGAATCGAGCGTGTGAAACCCCTTAAGTAAAAGAAAGTTAACTCTTAAACATTGAGGCACCTTTTGGTGTAATGGCTGAAATTTCTAGAGATCTGAGATAGGAGATTCTACATGAGGCTCATTATTCAGGCTATATTATTCATCCATGAAGTATTAAGATATACGGAGATCTGAAGGGTATGTTTTGGTGGCCTGGATTGAAGAAGAACATATCAGAGTTTGTGAAGAATTGTAAGGCCTATAAGCTAGTCAAGACAGAGCATCAGCGACTGGAGGTCTTCTGCAATCGTTATCTATTCTAGAGTGGAAATGGAAAGCGGTAACAATGGATTTTGCCATGGATTTTCCTAAATCGAGGCACGTGCATGATGCTATTTGAGTTGTTGTCGATCGACTGACAAAATCTGCCCATTTTATTCTGATTGACAGACAGAACAACTAGACATGTTAGTACAGATCTATATTAAAGATATTATCAGGTTGTATGGTGTGCCGAAGGTGATTGTATCTGATCGGGATGGTAGGTTTACCTCCATATTATGGAGAGGTATTTAGCAGGGATTGAGTACAAGGATGCACTCAATACGGCTTTTCATCTGCAGATAGACGGACAGTCCGAAAGGATTATTCAGGTACTGGAGAATATTCTGAGACTGTGTTTTGGATTTTGGAGGTAGTTGGGAGAATCATATCACGTTGATAGAGTTTACAATATAACAATAATTATTAGTCCAGCATAGGCATGGCTCTTTATGAAGCTCTGTATGACAAGAAATGTATGACTCCTTTGACTTTAATATAGGTGGGAGATAGACATCTGATAGATTCATCCTTTGTGGATGATACTACAGCAAAGATCCTTTTGATTAGAGAAATGTTGAAATCTTTACATGATAGACAAAAGAAGTATTACAATTAGAAAGGGGTAGTAGATTTGGAAGAATTAATAAGCTCAGTCCAAGGTATATTGGACCTTTTGAGATCATTAAGCGTATTAGTAGTTATGCTTACAAATTATTATTACATGATCATATGTCTGATATACACAATGTGTTTCAAGTATCTTTTTTGAGAAAGTGGATGTCTGATTCTAGGAAGATAATATCTGCTGAGGATGTTGAGGTTCATCGGAATCTACAATATACGAAAGAACCCGAAAGGATTTTGATATATGTTATTAAAAATTTGAGAAGCAAACAGATTCTCATGATCAAAGTAAAGTGGAAGCATAGAACTACTAGAGAGTCTACGTAGGAGAAGGAATCTGATATGAGGTAGTTGTATCCAGATTTATTCTAACTCATTCTTCTTTAGGAATTTCAAGGACGATATTTTTTAAGGTAGGTAGATTGTGAAACCTTTAAATTTTTTTATAAGAATTTTTAACCTAAAACAGTCAATATTTATTTCTAAGTCATAATAAGTCCAAATCAAAAATCGTCTTTGTCAGAATATTTGTAATGCTTTGTTTTAGCATCCCTAATTTTTTCATAATGGTTTGGCACCGTTGAATTATCTTAAGAAATCGGCACTTGTCATCACAATTAGGATTTTTTGGACCGTTAGGTATCTATTTTGCAAATCAATTTCACCAGAATGTTCTAAATAGAATTAGCTAATTTATAAATATTTTTGTGTAATTTATGAATTTTTGGATTTAAAGATATAAAAGAATTTGAATAAAATGAATATTTTAATAATAAATAATTAAAATAATTATTTTTTTAAATATCTAATCCCACTTTAGTTTATTTAAAATCCCAAATCTCTTTTTTTTTTACAAAAACGTTAACAGAGAATGTTTGGGAAGATTAGGGAAGAAAGAGAGGAGAAAGAAAACAAAAATCTGGGTTTGGGTGAGTTTGGACCATTTTCGTCTGTCAGTCCAGTTAGAAAAATTGTTCGTCTCGAGATAAGACACATTATGCTCATCTCAATTTTCAAAAATGTGCAAGTTTTAGTGAATATTCGATTAAAATTTTATATCCGTTAGCGAAAAATGAGGATAACTTTATACAGGTAAAATTTTCACTGCGTAACTTTTTATATGTTATAGAGATTATGATTATGCACATATTGAATATTTTCTGAAAATTTAACACCAAGGTTTTTTAAATTTGCGGGATTTTTTATTGAATAGAAAATTATCTGGATTTTGAAAAATAATGTAGTTCAATAAAAGTCTTAAATCATCGTTTTATACAATCCCTGGTAATTTGATAATTTTTTTAAAATGTGCATTTTTTTTGTTGAATTTTATGTTGTCTACTGTTATACAATACTGAAATTTTGATACATGCTCAATTACTCTTTAATTGTTATAATATGATGATATATGTGCATATGTGATTAAATTATATCTATTTGGAGCTATAAGGGTCAGAATCTTTTGAGGTTTTGTCTGTGTCAGTGAATTATTGAGAGTTATAAGGGGCTCGAATCCTTTAAGATTCTGTCAGAGACAGAGATAAATGATACATTATGGTGTTATAAGCATAAAAAATGAGTGATAAGGAGCCACAATCCTTTGAGATTCTATCTAGGTCCGATAAATATGATCTGAACTACTCTGTGATATAAATTTCAATTTATTATTTGTTCCATACTGTTATTTAAATTAGAGAATAACTGTTATACATTTATTACATTTCTATGTTTAGTGATTTATTTAAATTACATTTAACTGCTTTTAAATATTCAGCAAAATATTTGATAAAAAAATATTTAAAATTTTAGTTGATTTGTGTTGCTTGCTGAGTTGTAGCTCACTGTGATTTTGCTTCTGATTTTCAGGATCTGGTAAGGGGAAAGAGATTGTGGACTAGCAGTTCATGATTAAATCTGAGGTCATACGTATTTTACTATTTTGATTTTTTGTGCAGTCATGACTAGTTAAATTTTCAGTTTGTAGCTCTTAAATGTATCCATACACTGTAGTGTAAAAATTTATTTTGATGAAATGAAAGAAATTTGATGGATGAGTTTATTTTCAATATTTTTATGTTGTAGTTGCTCTGTAATCTTTAGTTTATTTCAATGAATATTGACAGAAAATTTGAAATAATTCCAAAACTATATCTTGGGATTTGTCTGCCATAGCTTAATACGATAGGACCTATCCTGGTTGGGTTGGGTTGTGACAGAGTGTCGGTGAAAGGCTTCGTCTGTTCGGGCGACTTCGTGGTCAGCGACCGGCTTCGTCTTTCGAGCATCCGAGCAATCAGCGAACGGCTTAATCTTCCGATTGTTTGAGCGGCTTCTTCTGAGCGTCCGAGCAATTTCTTCCTGCCTTCGGACATCTAAAGCCGGAGCGAGGCTTCGGCTTCATCTTCCACTAGGCTTCGTCTGCTCCGCTAACGTTTCTTCTGATGGCTTCCTCTCTATTTAGTTCGTGTCTCTGATACCATGTTGAAATCGAGAAATTTAAAAGAAAAATCATAACTTTATTATACAACATCATCTCTATTTATAATTCTATACAAGAGGACTTACTAAGGAATTACATAACTACAAAATAATGAATAATTGTTGTAATATAATCCTTCCTAAATCAGATGTCTAGCTATGGAAGGTACTCAATGCTTCCCACGGATCTCTATCATATACCATTGGATTCATATAGGAAATAGGGGCAGAGATATAACATATGTAAAAGTTAAATGTCTCTTCATTAATTACTAGTAAACATTTCATAGTTCAGATACTGATACAAAGATAAAAAATGCTAGAATTACAATTTATATAAGTGTATTTGCACTCTATTTAATTGCACAAATAGAGCAAATCACTAGCAGCACTCTCAAACTCATGCAAATTCAATGAAGAGTTTGCCAAACATGACAGTACCACACATACATATCAGCTATGGAGAAGACATCAAATTAATCAACAAAATCAAGCCTTTATCCTACAACATGGAGTTGGCAAGACATCAAATTAATCAATATAATAAATTATAAGAATTGTGTATGGGGCAGATGCATTATATCATTAGCAAGATATAAATATGAAAAGATCCAACTAGATAGATAAAATGACCAGACATGAAAACCAATCTTAATGTTAAGCAAATGATATTTATCATCTCAACTATTTCAGATCAACTTTCTGAATCCTTGATCATTTAACAAGAAAAGCATTTTTTTAAATACTTCTAACCGGTCATGTTCTATTCAATTCTCGTCAAAGTAACATGGTTCTCATTATATGTTAGGAGAGCAAACTAGCATGTTTTTAGCACCTATTGAAGTATAAAAAACTATCAAAAATGGAAATCAAACAAGTACTGATGCGGGTTGAAACATATTATTGCAGAAGTTTGAGAAGATAATTACAATTGTTAACACTATTATTCAGGTAGTTAGAGAAGATGATTACCATTGTTATCACCAGCCACAATAAAATAGACATGCAAGCTGTGCACAAGCTTAAGACAATCTAATGTCTTTGATGCTGCCGCTAATGCCTACATAAAGCCAAAAAAAATGTTTCATTGTTCAATGAAGGTTGCAATGATCAGGAAATAATGGCGCTATTAAGTATGAATCTCCTTTTCTTTATACAAAATTTAAAGCCCAACCATCACCAAGTTACACAATAGATGGTATGTGTTACACAATAAGCAACTGAAAGATCAACAGTGATTTGTAAAAACTGTCCAGTTCATATTGAAATTAGACATCACTAAGATGCCCAAGTTTTAATACAATCACTTTATTTGATTAGTGAAAGCAAAAAAAAAATCCAAAGCTTTTCATCATTGCTTTAACTCTTCATAAAAAACTAAATAGATAGCAACTTAATTTAGAGAAGGGTATTATAAAAGAACAATTATCTAATTTCCAAGAAGTGACATGTTACAAAATTTGAAAACCAAGCTGTTCAAAATAAGAGTGCCAAACGACTTATGTCTTAGGAATCTCAACTTTAATGACGTGAATATTTAATTTTATTTAGCAGTCAAGAACCTAAAAATTGAAAGGAAGACAACTTTCAGAACTCATTTTAAGCCTTATATAGAAATCAAGCAGAAGCGTTTTGCTCGAACAATATTAACACACCAAAGAGAAACACATGGAAAAGTTACTCATCATGAGCATCATTCAACAAACTATTTCAACCATTTGGGACCAGACTTAACAATCAATTTCCAACAACTATCGCTGTTACCAAGCCAACACTAAATTAGAAATCAAGAATATTAGTTACGTGGGATACTTTAGAGTCTAAGGTTTATTAATTCAAGCCTAGCATGAGATGTGGGACGAAACACAAGAGACAACAATTCAGAGATTCCCAACTATCAATATAAGCAAAGATTAGCAACCTTTGATATTAAATCAAAGAACACAATTTATTCATCCAAACGAACACTTACTAGTCATCAAAATATGAAATTCTACAAAAAAAATCTAATTATAACTATCTAAATTAACACCAAAAAATAGGAAATCAAGCTTGACAAAATCCCGATCAGGCATAAATAACAATCTGTAAACAATTTTTAAAAAAAGAACGACAAGCATAGTTGTGAAAACTGAACTAGACATAATACTAGAACAAGGAGAGGGTAAAGATGCAATGATTCAACTGGGGTTGAACCGAATGACATAACAAATATCAAAATAATTTAAATATGATATAAATGACATAGTAATGATGCAATGATGCGAGCAAAAACTTGAGAAGTGCCCCAAATTTTTGCTAATAAAAGAAACTCTTTCTAGATAATAGAAAATACACAAAAAAACTACAAAAATAAGAAACAAAGAATCTTTTTATAATATTAGAGAAGACTCTTACAACTCATGACTTACAAACGACACACAAAACTTGACAACCATAAAACACCTAAAATTGCATTTCCTTTGCTTGAGAAGAAAGATACAAGTGGAAGAGAACTTGCGGATAGAAGAAATAGATTAGAAGACTAGACGAAGAAAGGACAAGCTCGCAAGCTTTCCTAGAAGAAGGAGAAGGGTTAGAACAAGCTCGCAAGCTTTTCCAAAGAAGGAAAAAACCCTTAGGTTTTTGGCTCCAAAAATCAGCACATAAACATCTTTTTAACATTCCAAAACATCTCTATTTATAGGCACAAAAAGGGAGCCAAACAGCCACCACATCAGTCCGCAAACGGCACAGCAAAACAGAGAAGAAAAGCTGCAGAAACCAAGCAGAAAAGCCACGGAACCAAGCAGCCAGCGGCAGAACCAAGCAGCCATTCGCGGAACCAAGCAGCCAGCGGCAGAACCAAGCAGCCAACGGCAGAACCAAGCAGCCAGCGGCAGAACCAAAGGGGCAAAGGCACGAAAATTCACCCAGCACAGGAAACAAAGGGCCACAGCATGGGAACAGCAAAAGTCCAAGAGAAATCGAGACAAGGAGGAAAACGAGAAGGTAGTATGGGGAAGGGAAAGGGCCAATTCCACATAATAATGAGCTACCATTTTAGTTCAATAAATGAACTAAAAACAACTCATAATGAGCAAAATTTCAGCTCAAAGAATTAATGAGCTAACAAGTCCAAGGGTAGTCAAAACCAAAATTTAGGATTTGATTTGACCCCCCCTGCCTACATCAGACTCCCCTACTTGAAAAACTCATCTCCCGAAGAGTTGTCTTTTGATTTGATTTGAGGAGACCGTGGAATTTAATGCGAGCAAAAACATGGGAAGGGCCCCAAATTTTTGCTAACAAAAGAAACTCTTTCTAGATAATAGAAAATACACAAAAAACTACAAAAATAAGAAACAAAGACTCTTTTTATAATATTAGAGAAGACTCGTACAACTCATGACCTACAAACGACACACAAAACTTGACAACCATAAAACAACTAAAATTGCATTTCCTTTGCTTGAGAAGAAAGATACAAGTGGAAGGGAACTTGCGGATAGAAGAAATACATTAGAAAACTAGACGAAGAAAGGACAAGCTCGCAAGCTTTCCTAGAAGAAGGAGAAGGGTTGGAACAAGCTCGAAAAAACCCTCAGGTTTTTTGCTCCAAAAATCAGCACATAAACATCTTTTTAACATTCCAAACATCTCTATTTATAGGCACAAAAAGGGAGCCAAACAGCCACCACATCAGTCCCCAAACGGCACAGCAAAAACAGAGAAGAAAAGCTGTAGGAACCAAGCAGAAAAGCCACATAACCAAGCAGCCATCCGCGGAACCAAGCAGCCAGCGGCAGAACCAAAGGGGCAAAGGCACGAAAATTCACCCAGCATAGGAAACAAAAGGCCACAACACAGGAACAACAAAAGTCCAAGAGAAACTGAGGAGACATGGAGGAAAACGAGAAGGTAGTATGGGGAAGGGAAATGGTCAATTCCACATAATAATGAGCTACCATTTTAGTTCAATAAATGAACTAAAAACAGCTCATACTGAGCTAAATTTCAGCTCAAAGAATTAATGATCTAGCAAGTCCAAAAGTAGTCAAAACCAAAATTTAGGATTTGATTTGACCCCCCCCTGCCTACATCATGCAATAATACAAAAATGTGTTTAAAAGTAAACAAGCTCATACACAAATAACATATTCAATAATTGTAAATTTAAACGTCTTCAATTTTTGAATTTAGCTCACATATAAACTTATCAATTCAATATGAAAATTTGCTAATTTAAGTTATATATTTAAATATAAATTTACACTTATAGATCATATAATAAATTTAAATTATAAATGTGCACCCTTAAATCATCCATGTTAGATCACTTATAATTAATAAAGATAAAGAAATTAATTTATATAGTGTACAATGTACACTCAAATAAATAAACTAATTAATTTAATAAAAAATTAAATATTACTAACTAAGAAAATAAATATTATTTATATTATAAAAAAGTAATTAATTTTTATTTAAAAATATTTAGTGTATGTACTAACAAACTTGAAAAACTTTAACCTAATTATTTACTCTCACAACATTTGGGAATTTGAATTCAGAGTTGTTTACACAAAAATTTTTTTTATTCTTCTTGTTGATAAGACTAGAGAGGGAGTTGAAAGTAAACTTGAATTAGAGAGATCAAACTTAGAGTCTAAAGGCTTTCATTTGAGTAGATCTAAAACAGAATATATGGAGTGTAATTTTAGGTTTCGTTTGGGATGGCTTTCTAGTTCAAAAATTAAAATTTTAATACTAGAAAGCTGCTTTAAAAACAAGTAAGAAAGTCGTCCCAAATGAAGCCTTAATAATAATAGATTTAGTGGAGGGATTGTGACTTTGGGCGATCAAGTCATTAAGAAGAGTACATGTTTTAGATATCTTGGGTCTATTGTTCAGAGTTACAGTGAAATAGATGGGGATATTATTAGTAGAATTCAAATTGGATTGTAGAACTAGAGGAATGCATCGGGCTTGTTGTGTGATAGAAAAGTCCATCTCAGACTTACAAGAAAATTCTATAAGATGGTAGTGAGACCAACAATGCATTATGGTGAACAATGCTAGCCATTAAAAGAGAAGCATGATATTAAGTTAAGTGTTGTAGAGATGAGGATGCTCACATGGATGAGTGGCTTTACTCTTAGAGATAGGATACAAAATCAACATATATGTGAAAAGGTTGGAGTAGCTCCGATGGAAGATAAGATTAAAGAGAGTCACTTTAGATGGTTTGGTCACATAAAATGGCGGCCTTCTGATAACCCGGTTAGGAAATTATATGTATTAGATTTGACTTATGTTAAGGTAGAGATAAACCTAAAAAGACTTTGTTAGAAAATATTAGAAATAACCTTTCTTTATTAGAATTAGATGAGTATTTGATTCTTAATAGGACAACGGAGAAAAATGATTCATGTTGTTGATCCCACATAGTGGGATAAAGGCTTCTTGTTGTTGTTGTTGTTGTTGTTGTTTATACAACATTTTTTTTTTGTAACACGTGCTGGAAACTCATATGTGGTGGTGGTGTCATTAAAAATGCTTGATTATAGTAGAAATTTATTATTCAATATAAAATTAAAAAATGTTAAATTTTAAATAAATTTATTTAAATTCAATATTTTACAATAAATTCATTAACTTAATTTATTTAATTGCTTAATGGGATACTAATTGAATCGGCTTGTTCTAAGAGACCAAAATCGCTTCGACAGTTTGTTGGTCAAACCAATAATTCTCATCAAATTTTACTGATTTACTGTTTAGACGATTATTAAAGTGGATCGGACAATCCATTTGACCAATTCATGGTCGAACTAGTTGATTTGGTCTGATTTTTAAATCCATGAATAGAATTAATCAATTTGCATATCAAGATCTCAAGTCAATACAAAGAGAATCATCCACTAGAAATTAATCAAATTATCGTCAAGACTTGCAAAGCACTCAAAAATTCCATGACCAATAATGCACACACCTTGAGAAAATCTAAAGTTAATTGCAACATAAACTTTTTAATTATATGCCAAAGTTTTTTGATCAATAACCCAAAAACACCAAAAT